CCTCCAGCAGCCACCAACAATAGACTCCTTCTTCAACAGGAGATCCCATCCAGCAACAACTGACCCCCCCAGCAACAATAGACCCCCATGCAAAAATAGATTGCCACTGGTGACAATAGATCCCTTACCAGCCAGCATCAATAGACCCTTCAGCACACCCCAGCACCCCTTGCCATTACATACATTCAGTGCTGGAGGTGCTGGAACTGCGTTCCCCTGCGATCCCACTGAAAAAAAAAGCCCTGGATTCAGCAAACATTGAGTTAAAATCACTCATATATTGTTTTGTTTGGCAGTAATGACATTATGGTTCTTCTCATTCTCTTCTTTCTCTACATATCAAGTTTTATGTGTATTACTTACACTCTCAGTTCTAGGCTCATAGCTGTTGCATGATTCACTGAGACGTAATATGTATAATACAGGCAAAAAACATTGTGGCTGCTTCAAGTATTCCTAGATATATGATAACTGAATACAGGAATATGCAGCCGTTTGTAAAGCTGTATTGCATTACATTGTATGGTTGTTTCTGTTTACAGGGTATCTGAATAAAGGTCAGAGAAAGTGCATTGTCATTTTTACATTTTATTTGACACTTTTTCCATGTACAGAATAAATGGAACTGATTAATAAAACCTGATTTAGAAAAAAAAATGTGATGCCTCATGCAACCAACCGCCCCCTTTTTCTGAAACTATAATTATTGGACTGGAGCTATTGCTATTTTCTGGAACACGAAACAAAATGAAAATCTGTGGTTGGTTGCTAGGATTCTGAAAAATCAGGGACATGGCTGTTCGTAGTTGCAAAAATGTGCAGCATGAATAATACTCTATTATGAATTGCAGTGTGATCAATATATGAATGTGACTAAAATTATAACTTCAGCCAAAATGTATTTTTTAGTTTTAATTAGAGTAGAAAGGTTTAAAACCTCTGTCAAAGAGGTTATTATTACTTCACAGAGGGCAAGAAATCTTCCCTCACAATCACCTGTGCCCTTTCTATACACATATAAGTGGGCTTTATATTAGATCCCATTGACACTATTGACCAGAAGAAGTATACCTGTGCTGTGTCCTCCAATGGAACCAGTGAGTTTCTGCAGAGGATTAGTTATTCAATCTGTAGTGCCCTAAAGTAGCAAGTTGGTGGATCAATGGATACCTTTACTGGTTCACTATTGTATGGATTGCATTTATGCACCCAACTAAGCAAATATTAATGTCCACTTCACAGGATCACCAACTTGTTATAGCTGTTGAGATTCAGTCAGCCAAAAATCTCCATATAGCTCTTGCACTTGATGACAACTAAGTTCATGAGCCTGCCATTAGAAAAAAAAAATAAGAATCATGCCTAATAGGAATGTTATTATAGGTAAAATCACTGATGTAAGAAAAAAGACTATTTCACAAATGCTGACAACGATCTGGATGTCTTGTAGCACTCCTCCTGGAACATCATGTACACAGCATTATGCTTGGAGAAAAGAAAGCACTACATATCAAACCTTTATCACAACTGTGAAGCTTGGTGTAAGGGGTTTCATGAATGGAAGTTAATCAATGTGTGACAAATTATGTTATATTAGGAATTTCATAAAAAGAATGTCAGGGAATCTGCCTTTGACATAAAACTAAAATTAGTAGGATCAGAATTTCTGCAAAAGAGTGGCCCCAGCAGAATTAATTCTTTGTGTTAGAATGTCAAAGTTCAAGATCTACAGCAAGTCATTCAAAAAAGGAATTACTACACATGCTGAAACTTAGTTGTATACAATTAGTCAAAATGCCTTCTGATTACAGCACCGGTGTGATCAGCAGCTGCAGAAAGCATTTGACTGAGGGCTCATTCACATTTGAGTGTTGGGGTAATGCATATAACATGCATTTAGTTTTAATGGCACCCCAACGCACTAAGGTGATAGTAGTTCATTGCAATGGGCTACAACAATGGGCGTTGGCAACCCATTCATTTTGAATGGGCTGTGTGACGGGAGTCACTTTGGGTGGGGGGCCTATGGAACCCAGCTCACTTTGGAGAGGTGGGGAGACCCCTGCCTCAGCTCCCCATATCCCTCTTATGTGTACTGTAAATCTCCCTGTGCCTGTGAGGGGTACAGGGTGATCTGTCCTAATATTGTGTGGGCTTTGTCTCAGACTGTGTAGACATGTTTAGGAGATAGGTGGGGTGGGGGTTGTTGATTGTTTAATGTTTTGTGGCTGCATCCCATTGTTCTATTGTTTGGCTTGGGAGCAAACTATTATGGGATATAAGTGTTTATGTGTATTAACTTAGTGGGGGGGGGGGGTGTCTCCAGCAGCCTTCCCTCCTGATGGTACTGTCTGCTGGTGTGAAGTTTGAATACCTGTGTGTCTCTTGTTACTAAATGTAGATTTCCCCACCCTGTGTCATTTATTTGAACACAGATACAAGATATATACACTCAGGGGACAATCCCCCCAATTGTCCCCTGAGTGTATATATCTTGTATCTGTGTTCAAATAAAGAGGTCCATGTTCAGACAGACTGGTGTCATCTAGTCTTGTATGGTCGGCTGTGGGTGTCTGTTGTCGGTGTTTGAACGGGGAAGTGGTATTCTAACGGACGTACTCAAGTGCAGTCTGGGTCGGTTCCGTTATAGGCTGCCCCCCCCCCCCCCCCCCCCCCCCCCCCCCCCCACCCCCCACCCCCCCCCCCCCCCCCCCCCCCCCCCCCCCCCCCCCCCCCCCCCCACCCCCCCCCCCCCTAGCATAACACATGTTAACACACTTAAGTTAGTGCACAAAAAAGATGTAAATGGACCCTGAGGATATTGCTTCTAAGGGGGTATATACTGTATGTGTATATATACTGTATATGTAAGCTCCAAGGAGCAGGGCCCTCCTAACCAGGGGCGGACTGACCATTTGGAAACTCAGGCACTGCCCGAGGGCCCGGGGTCAGTAGGGGGCCCCATGAGATGCCCCTGGTACCTTTTTCATAGGCTTTTTTGAGTTTGGGCAAGGACACAGGGGCCCCATGATCCCCTATTGCCCGGGGGCTCCATGAGTTGTCAGTCCGCCCCTGCTCCTTATTTGTTTTATCTTTTATTAAAAAATATATTGACTTTTTCCCCAAATAATGCTTGCTAGGTTTTCCTTTATTAAGTTGTAGTTTATACTATGTAATAAGTGTTAATGAATTGTTCATATTTCAAAAACTGTGCTTGTCCTTTGATTTGAAAGTTTAGGTGAAAACCTTTTACTAGTTGCTCTCCATTATTCATAGTCATATTACTAATAAAACATTTCCACTCTCACTCTCCACACAAATGTAGAGAGCAGAATGTCTGCAAATCTTTTTTTCTGCATACTTTGCAAACCTATATGATTTTGGCTCATTATAGTCTCTGTCCATCATAGTTGTAAGCAGCTGCAGCCATTATAACCTTTTCATGTTTCTTTGGGGACACAGCGCTGGCTGTGAGAGTGTGTGTGTGTGTGTGTGGGTGTGTGGGGGGGGTTATACTGTACAACAAAATCAAAGACAATGGCACTTTTTTAGAACTTTTAAAATTAATTAGAATGAATGAATACATTTAGCATTTAATCAGTGTAACACTTTCACTTTATAGATAAGGTGCCATGTAAACCAAAACAATCTATTCAATTTCATTGCACTGTAGCCAGATCAGTGAATGATGAATTTTAATTGGCTGCTATGGATTACAGCTTTCTTATTTAGGAATGACACGTAGTTTTGCAAAGAGATAATAACTGTCACTCAACTTAGCTGTTTACATAAGTTTTGGGCTCCATCTCATGTACTAAGGACCCTTGACAGGTTATATTCTGACACCAGAAAAAAGTTAATAGCTGTGGAATCCCATCCAAATATAGATAGTCAAATGAAAGATGTGCTGTGCTTCTGGGTGGGAATTGAACAACCTGCAGGCTACAGAGCATCTGCCAGTTTGCACGTATACTTCATATTTGGGCACCTTTTGCTGACTTTGTTCCAGCAAGTGCCTTTGATGATGTATACCTACTCATTACATGATAATCTGTCATGTATGCAAATAGTCTTGATTGTTAGTCACAATACAGGTAAAATATAGTTCAGTGATGTGTTTTTCTCTATCGTGTAAACTTGGGTTTGCCAACAGACTCATAATGCGGAATACAGCCCCTTGTTCTGCTGTCAGTGACACTTTTCTGAGAGTTGCAGATATTTTTCCTATCAGATACCAGCCCTTTTATTCATGTGTAAAGATGACAGATATTCTTTAGACTTAAAGTTGAACTATAGGCAAAATTGAACTTGGCATGCAGTCTATCACGAGTATTAACACAGCAAATGTGTTTTTGTGAACCCCCCCCATCATGCTAGTAAGTCTGTTATTTTTCAACTTTTTTTTTACCAGGCCAAGTTATCCCAAAAAAATGGCCATTAGAGGATTGAGACAGACAATTGGCAACGATGCTTACAATGGTCAACTTTTATTGCTATAGATAAAACATTGATCCCAAAAAGGAAAGACAAAAGCTGTTGCTGTAACTGCTTAAACGATTTAGCTGGAGTTAGATTTTAATTTATTCGTTAAGTAAAGTTCATCTAAGGGTTCATGTACACAGGGAATTTGGAAAACTCTTTTGACCGCTGGAAACTGACTGCTAGAAAATGTAGGTTAAAAAAAAAGTCAATTTAGCTGCGTTTGCATACCACGTTTATGCGCGTTTATGTGTGTTTGCGTTTAGAAGCGTTTTTAAAAGATAACTTCAGGAGACCCTCCCAAATGCCCAGAATGCACAGGAAAAATAGTAAATAATTAACTATTTCAGACATTTTGAGAGAAATAGAGAGAGCAGAAGCAGAGAGAGCAGTATGTGTTGAGATTACCTGTCTTTTCAGGTTGTATTCACTGCATTAGAGGAATTCAATGGCCACAGCATACACTTTTATTTTATTACAGCATTATTTTAAAAGCAATAAAAACAATATTTATCTTTCACAATCAGGGGCGGACTGACAACTCATGGGGCCCCCGGGCAATAAGGGATCATGGGGCCCCTGTGTCCTTGCCCAAACTCAAAAAATTCTATGAAAAAGGTACCAGGGGCATCTCATGGGGCCCCCTACTGGCTCCGGGCCCTCGGGCAGTGCCCGAGTTTCCAAATGGTCAGTCTGCCCCTGTTCACAATCCAGCTTGAGTTCTGACTGTCTGCTGGCCATCTCTTTCCAAAACGTCCTGGATTCTCTGCATGCTTTGCAGCTTCTCTTCTGCTGTTACTTTCCATTTCTAAGGACTACATATCCCATGGTACCTAGCTGCCTGCAAACACTGATCCCTGTGCCTCCTGAAACTTCTCCTCTCAGCACCTCTGTAGGTCATAAGGCAGGTTCTGTGAAATGTGTGACGCAGCAGTGCCTACTCACAGGATGTATTGAATACATGTCACAGAATTCAAGAAAAGTAAATGTGTGTGATCTTCACAAAGTGAGTTTACAACCATCGAGATCATTCAGGTGTATAGGCTAGAAATAAGTTAAAAACAATATGCAAATACATGTATGACTTTAAATTCTGATCATAGATACACTTTAAGTCTAAATGATATCAGAATTAAGCATTTGTTAGTTTTTTTGTCAGTGACTTTTAGTCACTTTTCTCTTTTACTTGTGAGCTGTGTGACAATGCTTCTCTAACTCTTTCATTTATATTGCATATCTTGCTTCTTGCTTGCTTCTAAATGTTAAATTCTTTTAGTGTCTTTATTATCTGTATACCATCTAAAGCAAGTCTTTTTATATAGCCAACAAAAAAGTTTGCTGCATATTAATTTCTAATTTTTAAAAATATAATTTGTGTTGCATCATTTTTCAATTTGCCATGAAAGCTCAAATCAAAATTCCGATCTGAGCATAAGGAATATCTTAAAATGTATCTGTTATTTTAATTTTGGAGTCTGGACACAGTAGGGAAGGGTCAGAGCTTCTGTCAGGTACTGGTTGCCATTTGATTCCCCAATTCTATTTGTCCAGGTGGCCATTGTGAGAGGTCTTCCAGAGTTGATACCTGTTCCAGAGACAACATTTTTTGGGATTTCCCAAAATTTAATACATTTACTCTCCGTCCTGTTGTTTATCAGGACAGGTATTGAAGTGAAATCCTCCTATAGGGACACACACAGCAGAAAAAAGACCTGACAAGGGTTTTAATCATTCTTGACTCTATCCATTTTTTTTAAAGTGTTTTGGCTTTGAATACACTACACATGAGGTACCACTGAGGACATTATATTGGCTTCCTCTCTCCTCCCAGTGGCATGATGCACTTTCAGACCTTTTTTTATTGTCATTGTATAGTTTATGGATCAATTTAGGCATGCTGTGAAAATGCTTCGGAAACATAGCACTTAATTCTTTAGCTAAAACCATTGCAGGAATTACTGTAAAAGTGTTGTCTGTCACTACGAGCATTTGAACAATACAGTAGTAATGAACAATAACATTTTTCTCTGGAAGGAAGTTGCACCTATCACTTTTATGGTGTATAAATGATCATGAAAGTATATAACCTGAACAAAGATATTTATAGACAATAGTTCCTTTAGAGCTACTGACATAATGATCTATACATTACTCTCTGCCCTACTAATTATTGTAATTCTTGCCTACATTTACCCATTATAGACTGTTATATCAATGTAAAATTTTGAGAACCTGTATAAAAATGAGTGAAGCCATAATGACAAGAAGTAATGGGCATACATGTTTGGATCTAAAGCTCGTGGAATAAATGTTTGCTCAATAGGAATTTCCACCTTTTGAATAACAATAGGATTAGAATCAAAATGCACTGCAAGGATCCAGTTCAGAACTGCACAATTGTACAAATGTAGCTGTAGAATCAATATGTACATTCTGCACGTCTTAATCAAACATGCATTGACAGTATATTATCTGATCCACTGCTCTTACCTAAAAATGTCTGCACCCTTGGCATTATTCATATTTGCTGAGGTTGGAATGAGTTCCTACAATGCTAGCGGTGGGGTCTGATAGTTTTTTAGATTTACTTCAAGAGTTAGTCCACTCAAAAGTAGGTCTTTGGCTTCTTATATGCCTTAAAGAACAGCAAAATATTCCCTGGCATAAATTCTGACCCTGGTCCTATTTGCCGGGGAGTAGTGGGCACTCCTGGCCACATTTGTATGTTCAGGTTTTACCTATTACATTTTACATGATATAAAGGGAATAAGGGATCCAATAAAGAAAGTTTTCAATGCTTATAATGGCTATAGCAAATGTCAGGTTGTTTAACTGACCAATAACTACTAAAAACTGAAACAGAAGTGTTGGGTGGAATGATTAATTCAGTGTATTTACTTTTAAATGCCATGTAACATTTACAAAATATACTGCATTTTCAAAAACATTTTACTGAGGTTAAAAATGTACCAAAAATGTACTTTGTAATGTATGTAGCGCACTCCCTGAGGAGCCGCTAGTTCTGCCTACAAATGACTACAGCTAACCTAAACCTGTAACTGTCTACCTAGTCATAAGACAGTGAACCTGAACTTAGTCCTGCTGGTGTTGAGGCCCTTTTAGTGGCATGCTCAGCCCTCTCTTTTGATGCTCTTTTAAATCCCAAAGACTAGGTAAAGCAAGCAGAAAAAATTGCCAGAGGTCTCTCACCAGTCCTGATAGTTCAGTGATGAACAATGACCATAGCCTCCTCCCAATAGCCCATGGCAATTAAAGGCAAATTGTTTCACTTTAAATCAGCCAAGCATTTTCCAGGTGCATCAAAACAAAAGAGGTGTTAAGACTTACAGTTAATTTTTCTTTGGAAAGCAGCCACATTCTTAGTAGAAATTCCTATCCCCACCAACATGTTATAGAAAGGACCCTTACTCTCTGTGTGGAAGCAGTGGGCTCTCTGCAGATGTCTGACACACTCCTTGTTTTTCAGAGTTAGAGCTCTACAATTAACTAAATCCATGCCTCCTGCTGATTGGAGAGTTCTAGCTCTGATTCAGCCAGGGGTGTGTTGGACCTCTGCATTAAGACCACTGTTTCTACATAAAGAGGAAGGGTCATTCTCTACAGCATGCTGGCAAGGGACAGGCATTTCTGCTAAAGCAGTGGCTGCTTTCCAAAGAAAAAAAACTGTATAACTTTGCGCACCTGTTGTTTTCAAGCACCTGGATTGGATTTAGCTGATTTAAGTTCAATTGGGCTTTAAGCCCCAGTTCACATCAAGCCTTACAGTGAAGTTGCTCAATTTCAAAGTCGGGGGACCCACCGATTTCAGATGCGATTTGCAATACATCTGATACAGATGTCTATGCAAATCACACCAAAAGTAGTGCATGTATCGCTTTTGAAATTGGTGCAGCTCTGACCAAGTCAGAACTGATATGGCCACTCTAATTGCAGACAATAGGGTGTGACTTGGCATGCAATTTGCAAGTCACAGGGAATGCAAATTGCATGCCAAGTTGCACTGATGTGAACGGGGTGTAACTGATGAAATAATTAAAAAAAAACATTCAGTTTACAGGCTATATAGACACATCATGAAAAAAATATTGATTGAGTTACTACCCAGGCTCATTTTAAGAAGTAAAATATGTAGAAGAGGCAAAGTCTATCTTGTAAAATAAGGTCCTGGAAACTATATGCATTGGTATTCTGTGGTGCCATTCATTCTTAGCCTCCATTCACATCAAGCCCGACTTTGAAATCGTACAGTGAAGTCACATGATTTCAAAGTTGGGGGACCCGCCGATTTCAGGTGCAGATTGCAAGACATCTGATACAGATGTCTATGCAAATTGCACCAAAATTAATGCATGCACTACTTTTGAAATTAGGATCCAACCAAGTCAGAACCGCACTGATATGACCGCTCCAATTGTAGACAATAGGGTGTGACTTGGCATGCGATTTGCAAGTCACAGGGCATGCAAATCGCATGCCAAATCACACCGATGTGAACTGGGTGTAAATGTCATCTCAAAGCAACTTGCCAGTGTACCACAAAGCAATGCAATGCACTATATTTTGGTGTGCTTTATTGCAAAAAATAATGCATGCACCTTTTTTTGGTGCATTAACCTCCCTAGCGGTCTGATTATATCAGTATTTCTGTGCTCAAAGCGGTACATTGTTTTCAATGGAAATATGTTGTTTTTTTATTGTAGGCCTGTAATTCTTAGGAATAACTCACTGATATCTGTCCGAACAAGAGTCTAGTAAACATCCCGGGTATGAAAAATTTGAAACACAAAATCATAAATTATAATATAATAAATAATCATAAAAAATTCTAATAATATAATAATAAATTTAATTCAATAATGTAATCAAACCAAAAACACTGAAATTTGAAATATAGCGCCAAGTTCGCACATCGCTGAGCTTAGTCGCAAAATCGTTTTCAGTGTCTGGTGACGAATTTCCCCACGACTGCTGTGGTGTAGAGCACTTCTGACTGTCTCCCGAAATGTGTGCTGAGATTATCTCAAAGCGTGACGATATGCTTCGGCACATGGTGACGCACTTCTGGTCAGACGCCATCTTGAGACACCCAGGAAGACACCCATGCAACTACATCTGATCTGAGGTTTGAGATAATCTATGCCATGAGAAAGATGATGTAAAATGTGAGCGCATACTAGTGTGGTATTATATTTAGTACTCAATAAACAGTATTACACTATGGAAGTGTCCACTTGTATTTTATGAGGGAATGAATGAGTGGCCACTTACTGCTTTACTGCCTGGAGAGGAGATCTACTATCCTATGAGCCTACATTTGAGGGGAGATCAGTGTGGAGAGTTTGGAGGAGTCCTGTGCATGAAGGATCCGGTACAGTGATCTTAAAAGCGTTTTGGCCCGTGTGGTTCAAAACAGGGAGGTGAGCGGGCATTTTAGCCATTTTTTTATATTTTTGTAAACCTGTCATCACCTTTTAGGTTAACCTTCACAAGGAGTGCATTACTTGATTTATTTAGGTGTTTATTCACCTCACGGAACTCATTTGTGTTTTTTTTTTAAAAAATTATATTTTTTGGATTTCATGCTATATGTTTATATATTTTGAGCACATTTATTAATTGTATTATATATGTAAGGTTGGATGCACTGTGTTTATTAGTGACACAGCGGTTGTTATTTATGT